CGTCCCCGCCCGGCGCTGCCAAAAGCCGCTGGTGACTCACGCCTCGCGCCAGCGGCACCCGCGGAGCGGGTGTTTACGCAGCATCACCCAGCTCCCTCCATCTGCTTTGATCCACGGGCTAAATATTACCGGCCCCGGTGTAAAAATAGGAACCATTTGGGAAGGTCCTGAGTCAGCAGCATCCGCCGCCGGCACCCGCCACCATTCTCCCTGGCACGCCGAAGCACCGAGGGCCCCGTCCCGCCCCGCCGGGAGATGTGCCAGGAGCCCCAGGGTCCCTCCAGCGCCTGGGGGCTGCCAGCAATTTGGGGACACCCATTGGGAGGGGGGGACCCCAAAAGGCTGTGTGCATTTGGGTGCCACCCTCGCTCCTGCTGGAGCAGAGAGCCAGGCCCTCCGGGGATGCTCTGTGTCTCCGAGGGGTGCCGCTGTCCCCAAAGGATGCTGCTGTCCCCGAGGGACGCTGGCACCAGCCATAGGGTGACGACTGCACCCACGTATCTGCTCCCATATGTACCAGCAGAGAATGGGGTCCCCTCCCCGGCCCCCCGTTCTCAGCTATGCTTGGTGCCGGGTCCCCGCCGTGCCCGGTGTCCCCTTGCAGCCGGCTGAGCCCCGTTGCACATCTCCAGCCCCATGACCAGAGGGACGCAGGGGACAGAAGCGTCGGTGACCAGAGGGATGCAGGGGACACAGAGGAGCCGGCCGGATCCCGTGCCAGTCGAGCCGGGAGAGCAAGCCACCAAGGAGCGTGTGACACAGGCCACGGCCAGGCAGTCCCCGAGGCGGGGGAAGGGCCCCACACCACGACGGGGGCCGGGGGTTTTTTCCCTGCCACCAGCCCGGCGCTCGTGAAACCCCTGCGAGCCCATGGGGGAAGGTTCACATCTCCATCTGCTCCCACCCGACCTGGCCCACCAGCATCTCCCAACGCCCCGGCAGCTGCCGCCGGCGATTTCTCTGCTTGCCAGCGCATCGAACATAATTTCCCCTAATTGCTTTAAATCTCACAGCCTGACACTTCCATGCTCCTCTCTCTCTCTTGCTTTTCTCCTCCAATTTTTTTATTTCCTCTCGGGGGTGGCTGGAAAGCGACGAGCCGGCCGGAGCAGGGTTTTCCGGGGCGCAGGAATTAGTGCATTAGCAACAACGGCAAAGCCAGAAGTTTCACGCAACAGGAGCCGCTGCCGGGAACCCCCGCTCGACCAAAGCGTGCTAAATATGGAATTTAAGGGGAAAAAAAACCCAAACCCCAGCCCACCTCCCTGCACCTGCAGCCTTTGGAGGAGTCCCCGCCGCGGGGGACAGCACCAAGGCCGGGCAGGCATTGCCCGCGGCCGCTGGAGGCAGCTGAGAACCAGCAAGGAGCAGGCA